TTGGAGGGTGGACCATATGGCATTGTATCCTCCTGGCCCCCCCCAACACCCCCCCAGGCTCCACCCCCCCCCAAATCTCTAGGTATTTCCCAATTCAGAACTGGCTGCCCCAAACCCTCCCCAGGCTCCACCCCCCCCCAAATCCCCAGGTATTTCCCAACCCAGAGCTGGCAACCCTTTATCTCCCCCCCCACACACACACACCTGGGGGAGCAAACAGGAGAACCATCACCAGCTCACTGTGACTAATTTGCACTTTGCAGATAAAAATTGTTGCTATCCAGCCCAGCTTGGACTCCCCGTTCATGCCAGTTAAACCGACAGACCCTGATGTTTCTGTTTCTCCCATTCATCCTACGGATTTAGAGAAGCTTCTCAAAGCTGTGAGGCCTACTACGGAACTTCTACGCCCATGACCTTCGCAGCCCCTGAAATCAGCCAAAGGTGATCCGGCACAGTGGTTAGAACCTATTAGCAACACCTCTTTGAAGAAGGGATGGTTGTATTGAAGGAGGCCACCGTTAGAGCCTCTTTTTATGTACAAAAATCTTTAGAAGGTGTGGATTTTTACAAACCAGTTTCAAACCTCCCATATCGAGTGGGTGGTAGCCAAGCAGATTTAAGTAGTCTTGGATGAAAATGAATATTTCAATGCTTTTTAGTCTGGACTCAGGTCCAGTTACAATACCAAGACTGCCTTGAGCCCCCCATTAGATCATCTACACCAAACACGTCCCGGGGGCCAGAACAGGCTCGTCCAAGGCTCTTATCCAGCCTGCATGCAACTGGGGGGAAACCAGTCCAAATGTGGACTGGAAGGGCATCTATGAGGGTATTATACCCCCTGCTGAGGTCCCTCCCTTCCCCAAATGCAGGCCCCCCTCAGGGTCTTCCCCCAGATCTCTAGGCATTGCCCAACCCAGAGTTGGCAACCATAAGGGGCCAGGAGGACTGGTTTGGCCTCAAGCTCTGCTGAGGAGGGGTATGGGTCACAGTCAGTGGTAAAATATCTCTGGTACCTGGCATTACACTTTATGGCACACATGGCCCAGCCTGACAAAGTGACAGATCTGGCCCTTGTAGCAAATGAGTTCGACACCCCTGATCTACACTCATCACCAACAGGAGGAGTGTTTGTTGGTTCTCCTGGACTGCTCTGCAGTTTTTGATACCATTGACAATGATATTTGTCAGCTAGGCCTCTAGCTGCCATGGAGTGCGGGGGAGGGCTCTGGAATGTTAGGTTTCATTTCTCTTTGTCTTCAGTGTTTCTTTATCTCTGTAACATGAGCTTTTGGCCCTGGTGTCTAGCCAAATCTGGCTGAGATGGGCCTGTGGAGAGCAGTTTGGCACTGCCTTCCTTGAGGACAGATTCCAGAAGGTGGTGCTGGGGGACTTCTGCTCAGCTCCACTGGCTAGTAACTTATGGGGTACCACAATGGTCTATCTTGTCCCCCCTTGCTCTTTAACATCTACATGAAACCACTTTGAAAGATCAATCGGAGATCTGAAGCACAGTGTCACACAGCAAATTCCCGGAAGGCGATACAAGAGCTAAAGTGGTGCCTGGAGACAGTGAAGAACTGACTGAGTGTAAATAATTCAGACAAGATAGCGATGTTGTGAGTGAGGAATAAGACAGATCTATTTGGGGTCTGAAGCTTGGAGGTGATTTTAGACTCAACGTTGCCCTTGGATAAACAGATTCTGAAGTTGCATGGACCTCTTGCTGCCAACTCAGGCTAGTTCACTAGCTGCAGCCATCCTCAGAGAAAGCCGAGCCTGCCTCAGCCACACATGCCTTGGTAACATCCAGATTAGATTACTGTACCATTATTTATGTGGGGCTGCCCTTGATGACTGTTCAGAAACTTCAGTCAGTACAAAGCTCAGCTGCCCGTGTCTCCCTCACTGGGTTGTGCTACAATAATCATATAAAGCCAGTGCTACCCAAGTTCCATTGTCACCACAAAGAAGACCCTATCTCAATAGTCACCCCCTAGTTTCTGATGATGGTTGAACCCAAAGCGGGACCTCTACTGAAAAAAATGTATATGCGGCCGAACCAAAGATCTGATCTAGGAGGCTTACAAAGTAAAAAACTGGCCAGTAAAACCATGAGATAAGAATTATCAATATTAAAAGAGGCCATAAAAACAAGCCAAGGGAGTAGAAACAGGATAAAACAACACTCATCAGCCTAACTTGGTATTCATAAAAAAAGGTCCTCAGGCTAGAAGCAGACCATAAAAAGCCGCCTTAAAAAAAAAGATGGAACCAGCTCAGTTGAAGAGCCTGCATGAAAATAAATGTTTTGGCCTGGTGCCCGACGGACAGTAAGAGGACAGCGAGGGGACCCTCATGATTTTCAGGCAGATTACATGGGGGCAGCTAAACCCAATGCTTCAGCGACAGTGAGGGTTCTCCTACTGGGAACTGAGAAAATCCTCTTGCTACTTTCTCCCCCAGGACAAATCTACAGACTTTGCACCTTGGGGTGCCCCCCCCCAATTTAAACTGGAAGAATGCTTCACACTTGTCCTTTAAAACTGTTTACTTTTTGAGCAGGAGTAGGCAATCCCCGGCTCACGTACCAAACAACGTACCAAACAGAGGTCATTTCGGGGGGGATCGCAGTTCCCCCGGGTGAGGTACAGGGGGCGGAGCACATGATGAAGCCCCGCCCCCTGCTTTTGGCCGCCCCGCTTCCGGCCCTCATTCAGCCAGGAGGAGGCAGGAGAAGAGGGAGGGTAAGCAGCGGCCAGGACCGTTGGGGCGGGGTGTGTGGCCTTATGACACACTTCCGGTGATGTCAGGGGGTGTGGCCTTATGACACACTTCCGGTGATGTAAGGGGGTGTGGCCTTATGACACACTTCCGGTGATGTCAGGGGGTGTGGCATATGCTAATGAGTTATGCTAATGAGTTCCCCTAGCTCTTTTTCTACGAAACGACCCTTGGTACCAAATCATTTTGGTCAGCATGCAAGGGCAGTTCTCCAGCCAAGCAGGTGAGGCGAGGCAAGCCCCTGAGACACTGACAGCACCACTGGGGTTCAGGTTCTCAGGGTGCGTTTGGCCACATACAGCTCTCATCTCTCCCCGCCTCCTCCTTGTTTGCTAGCACACCAACATCGTCACAGGAAGGAGGGGCTTTTCCCCAACGCTCAGGCCAAAAAGGGTGCCTGCCCCTGTACTAGAGTGTGTAAGCCTCCTCATGTTTTTATATAAATAATTGGCTGTGACTCATGATAGGAGGGCAGCAAGCCCTGGATGGTGACTCATGCTCAGATGTAACGGGCAGCCTCCTCCAAGAATGGAAAGTTCTGTTCACATTTGCATATGGGGTGTGATTAAATTATACAGTCACATTGGATGCAAAAGAATTATCCACTGTCTCCCACTGCAAAGTGTAATGGGAAGGAGCCAAGACCAAGAACAGCTATTCATGCAGAGATGCAGCAGATGGCCTCCTCTTATCTGGGGGCACTACTTCTCACAGAGGGCTTTAATCTCCCCCCCCCTTTTCCTTTTGCATGCTATGCTGTTGTTGCCTGGTACATACTTTGGAAATTATTGCATCTGCCAGGTCTCACCTATTTCAAACACTATGCCTCAAGCCAGAATCTAATACATTCCATCTATGGGGCTGGCAAGGCAGGGCAGAAGGTTCTCCGTGGTATAAGGGGGACTTCAAAGAGATACTGACTGAAGGAGCAGGTGCTCTCTCTACAGGGTCCCCTCCTAGTTCCAGTTACACAAGGCCTTTGCTGTAGAGAGTCAGGCACTATGCCCAAGGATATCATCTCCACATATTTTCTCAAAGTCACAGCTATTCACTGTTCAATGCACAGGGATGCCCCCTGCTGGGAAATAAGGCACAATGCAGCATGGTTATGCACTTCTTGAGATACAAGCAAGGCAGCTGGCCGCAAAGACCAGCAAGAATTTTGTTCAAATGAAATTGGCGTGCAGAGTGCTACTTGATAACATGAGTGATTTGGGCTTGGATTGTGTGCTTCAATACGCAGTTATACCATTATTTATCAAGGGACTGATGTCTTCATTGATTCGTTCATATATACAAGTGCTTTCCTTAGCCAGAGAGAGGTCTAAACAATGAGGAGAACGTTTGAAACCTACAGTATGGCTGAAGTTGCAGGCTAGAACTTGGAGCTTTCAAAGGAGCAAATAGGGCTGAAGGCAGAGTAAGAATTAGCCTACTGGCTCAGGATGCCACAGTAAGTCTTTCACTCTACTTTGAGAAAGTCCACCTTCCATTGCTGCTGTCCTAAGGTGAAAAGTTAGAGGTTTTCCAAATGCAGTCTCTATTACCTTCCTCTCCCTTTCAGCTTCCTGGGGGTAATGCACACTGCCCCCACCCATAAAGTGACACAGGAGATGAAGCTGGTTGACAGATAGAGGCTGCACATCACAAAACATGGGTTTGTCTGTGAGGTGAACAAAGCTCCCATAGTCCTTGGCAGGCTCAGATGCTCCCTTCTTCCTTCCCCTCAAACAACGAGCAGGGACTAAAGACTTCCTGGTTTCATACACACTGTGGTTTGACGCAACCTCTGAACTGGGTGAAACTGTGGTTTTGTTCAATTGCATACAAACCAGGATGGATTAGAATCCTGACTTGTAGGCAAGAGAACAAAGGATGATTCAGTAATAAAGGTATATGGTCATCAGAGTAACTTAAAACATTAAGATCTCTTTGTGCCATAATGTCAGTTACAAAACAATCCCCAATAATTACAATTGTATCCTCGCAAGAGAACAAAGCCACAGTTTGCTGTCTCATCTGACTGAGACATCACAACCAACTGTGGTTTGGGCCAAACCGGGAGGTTTTCAGTCTCAGCCCTTTGAGGTAGGGGAGGAGGAAAGCAGGACTTGGTGGCTCATTTGTAGCACAACCCAACTCAGCTTTGTTCCTGACATGCAGCCTCTCAGCCTCTGGAACGTTATCACAGCACATACTAACACAGTACTTACCTCAGCCAGGTAGAGGATGCAGAACTTTAGATCCTCAGGGGAATCTGTAAAGGAAGAAATTAAAACCCCATTTTAGATTTCCATACACACTCAGAATGTGGCTTTCACAAGAAGATTTGTCTTCCTAGCTAGAATCATAGAATCATAGAGTTGGAAGCGACCTCCAGAGATATCTAGTCCAACCCCCTGCACAAAGCAGGAAATCCACACACCCCACACATACCCAGTGACTCCTGCTCCATGCCCAGAAGATGGCCTGGAGAAAACCGCTAGGGGAGTTTATTTCCTGTTCTGCTCATCATTTCTTTGCTTTCACCCATCCACCCGCACACGCCCAAAACAAGAAAAAAAGGGTTGAATCCTGTAACTCTCTTCCACTACATTTTTGTCCAAAAGAGAAAGGCTTCTTCTGATGGAGAAAGTCTTTCTCCACTGAAACAGTCATTCTCTGTAGGAAAAAGTGATTCTTTGCTGAAGGAAGACTTTGTGGAAGGGAGTCAAAGGATCCAACCCCCCAAGATGAAGGGGTTCTGAAATCACTGGCCTCATCCCACCTTCTGGTTGCTTCTGCTGCAGACCAGTAAAAACCTTTTCATGAAATGATCCTAACAGTATTATAGATCCCTACCTAACCATCTACAAGGGAGGCTGGATAAGTCTGGCTCCTAGTGTGGGGCATTTAAGTATTTGGAAATTTTGTTTAGGAAAAAAGATACATCAGGAGGAAAACATGATAGTGGTTTTTACAATTCTGGAAAATGTGGCTACGAAAGAATATTTTCCCTGCCATTTTCCCCACATGTTCATGTAGTCATCCATTGTATTACTGTATGAAATAAACTTTCATGGGGGCAAAAAGCTGAAATATATAATAATAAATACTAGAATTCAGAGCCAGCCCATCAAGCTGATTGGTAGAAGATGGTTCAGGAGTGCCAAAGGCCCACCTTGGCATTGATATATAGTTAAGTTCTGGAAGTCATTGCTTCAGGATGTGATGACGCCAGGTGCTTATATTTTAAAGATTAGAAACATTCATAGTGGATAGGCTAATCAGCCAACAGAGCAAAAAAGAACATCCATGTTCAGATGCAGTCTACCTCCAATGCCAGGTGCTGGCACAGATAAGAAAAAAGGGCTGTCACTTTCAAGGCCCTGCTTGTAAGTGTCAAGGAGCCTCTAATTGGAAACAGAGTACTGATTACTCAATGGACTGCGGTCTGCCTGCAGTTGGATAGCTTGGAAGAAAACAGATGTTGAGCCCCAAAGCCCTCCTTAAGCACGGCAGACTCACCCTCTTGCAGTCTGACATCCTGCAGGTAAAGGGGATTCCGGAGGACATTGCAGCGGCCTGGTTCGTCTTCTTTGGTAAACAGCAGCAAGTCCGAATAGATGAAGAGTGTTACCTGGGTAAGGTAGGAAAAGAAGTTAAGGCTCGTAGGGCTGGAAGGAATTCACATGCCCCAGCTGCCAAGGAGATTACTGTATGCACATAAAAAGCACTGGCCTTTACCATCTCAACACATACAAAATATAAGGCTTGTTTTTTTCCTTTTTAAAAAATGACTCATTATTAGCAAAGAAAGAATTGCAAAACAAGTTGATTACAAAGTCAGCTGAGAACAGTCTAAGGCTTGATTTAGACTTGACACCAGCAAGGCAAGAACACTTCCCTATGGGACACTGCACTCACTGGGGTGTACTTGTGCGAAACAGCAGACCGGCATGAATTCTCTACTGGGATGTTGCATTCACATAGGGTCTCATTCAAACAGTGCAAAGGTAGCTGTCATGTTTTAAATGAGACCTACCACGGGAAAGTGCTTTCACTTCAGCTGGTGTCTCACTTAAGTGAAGTCTATGGCTCTTCTTCAGGGCTTTACTGAGGATTCCCAGCCATTTAGAGAACAGATTGCAAAAATAAGATCTCTGGTGTTTCAAAGTCTTCTGAATTCCTATCAGTTTGGGGCCATTGGTTCCAGGACACAACAGCACCCTTTCCCTGTTCTGGTGCTAACCAATTTTCTCCACCCCAATGAACTGGTACAGTGCTGCCATCCGTGCCCTCTCATACATATTTCCTTTAAGGTAAACAGGTCATGTGCCAAGAGAATGCTGAACATGGAAATCCTTCACTGCCACAGACCCGGAAACCCACGACCCAGATCCCGGAAGGTCGTGGCCGTGGGAACTGCAATCAAGTCTAGACAGGATGTGATTGAAGCCGGACTCAGGATCCAGGGAAAGGACCAGTTCTGGCACAGATCCACATTCACTCCGTAGCCACCCCCCCTGCCTTCTCTCCCCCCGCCTTCATTTATATACTAATCTATGTACTTTTTCCCAAGTTCTTAACAAAGATCTTGAAGTGGCTTCCATAAATGGCAAAAGGCAATGAAATCACCACTGCAACAATAATTAAAAGTAACACAGACAACTGCATAGTTTTTTAAAAATTATGCATATCCCACTTTCCTCCCCAATGAGGACCCAAAGTGGTGTACATCATTCTCCCCTTCACCATTCTATTCGCATAACAACTACCCTGTGAGGTAGATTAGGCTGAAACTGTGTCACTGGCCCAATGTCATCCCACAAGCTTGCATGACAGAGCAGGGATTTGAACCTGGGTGTCCCAGATCTTAATCTGATACCGCAACAATTATACCATGATTGACAACACTTATCATAGCCAAACTCAGCAAGCAGACACACACACACACATACAAAAAAACCTGCAGAATTTGTTGATAGAAAAGAAATAAATTTCTGGGCATGAAAAAACCTTCATGGGAGACAAGGATTGACTGGATGGGGAGAAGTGGTGTGTCTCTTGGGAGATAGCCATTTCCAGAAAAGTTCTAATTTTGGTCATCTCACTGGCTGTCCTTCAGACTGTGAGGGGTACATCCCGCATGGCCCTTCCGAAAGGTCTTAATGCATGAGGCTATCCAAAATGCAGAAACCTGCTTGACGCCTTCTGCGACTTAATCACTTCCAATTGCAAGTAAGACACTGACTGCATGCTTGCATCTTCCCCTGTCCACAGAAATCTAGTGCAAGGCCAGGCATAAAGCTTTTCCTCCTTCTGTGCTGGTTTTCTAAGAGCAGGGAGTGTTGTCTTGGAGCAGGGAGTGTTGTATTGGAGCTTTCAAATATTACTCCAAACTAGATATGGATTAGTGGGGCTAATAAGACTAGGATATCTCCAGCGGCATGGAGTAGGGAGTTTTCCTGTACGGATTCAGCTGCAGTTTGGCACACAGAAATGTAGTAAATGGGGCTTGACTCACCAGTCCACGCTTTTCCTGACAGTGGAGATGGTGGCAGAAGAATTCTGTGCACCAGTCCCGTATCAAAGGCACAAGAGCAGAAAAGAAGACAGCGCTGCTTAGCAGGGAGCAGTCCCGGCAGTGGCTTTTCACAGGACAGCCAGCACCGCAGGGCAGCTCTGATGGGAGGCAGGTGCACAGCCAGAGCACCAGTCACATACAAGCCAGCATTTCATAGTGGTTAGAAAAGGACTGGGCTTGAAGCTCCATTTGGGCTATGAAGCTTCTTGGAGACCCTCGACCAGTCACACACTCTCTGCAGCTAACAAGGCTGTCAGGAGGATGAAACAAGGGAAGGCAGAACCACAAATGCTGCCCCAAGCTCACTGGGAGAAGCACAAGATTAAAACAAGACACACACAGATGACTCCATGGCAGAAACTTGGGGGAAATGGGGTGTGTTGCTTTTGTTAAGACTTTGTTCCCTTCCCATAGGAGACTGAATGCATCCTTTGTTTTCTTTGTAATCAAGGCATCAGGAGAGCAAATATTGGCTTGCTTCAATTTGGAGTTAGTGTTAATAAACCTGCACATTGAGGGGGGGGGGCAAGATTCTTACCTTTGTAGGCTTGTTTCGGGTCTCATGAAGAAGCAGCTCTTCCGACAAAAGCAGCGTTCGGGCTGGATTGCAAAGGTCAAGAGGCTATAAATAAGAGAAACAGACATTTGGGGGTTTGGTCGTACAAGGAAACACCCCCCCACACCGCCTACCCCCCCCACTAAGAGCCACATCAGCTTCTCACTCCCTGCAAGCCCCTGAGCGCAAGGCACCTCTGGCGGATGGAAAGTCCACAGTCCAGCAAAGTGATAAGAAGGGGCGGGAGTGTTTTGTGAGTGGGGGGGGACGGACCACTTCACACTTCAAACACCTGCGTCACGCAGGAGCTAAGAAAAGAACTGGTGCTCTCTGCTTCTCTGTGTGGAGTGAACTTTCTGCAAAGCTGGGGCACGGCTGTAAAAAGCCACAAGTGGAAAACTCAGCCGCTGCAGCCACAGCCGCAGCAGCAGCCCAGGTGTGGCACGTGGGAAGCAGGAAGTGTTTGCAAAAGGTGCTCACATGAGAGAAGAGATGAAGAGCCCTACAGAGGGGAGCCTCCTTCCCGGCCACAGCCGCCACCCCCGAAGTCTGTAGGCATCTTGGTTTCTGAGTGGGTACGGGAAGCTGACCATTGAAACTTTTTGCCAAGACACCCCAAATTCACCATACTTGCGTTTCTCTGCTCTTTGCTATGATTATGTTAGGAATGGCTTGACCAGATTGGAAAAACTAGGTACCTTCCCAGGGCAGCACAGCTAAGCACCTATTTACCCACCTCCTTCCCTAGTACACTTTTATCCTGCCTGTCCTCCCTGAGCTCCTGTGGTCCCCCCAGTGGTCCCCCCAGTTTATCTTTACAACAAGCCTGTGAAGTCGGCTAGGCTGAGGTACTATGACTGTCTCAAGGTGACACAATGAGCCCCACAACTGACGGCGCTTTCACACATGCTAAATAATGCAGTTTCAATCCACTTCAGCGACCGTTTGCAAGTGGATTTTGCCATTTCACGCAGTGAAATCCAGTTGCAAAATGCATTGAAAGTGTGTTATTTAGTGTGTGTGAAAGCACCGCGGGGATTTGAACCTACGTCTCCCGGATCCAAAATCCAACACTCTAACCACTCCACCATGCTGGCACTCTACCAGAAGAAGCACTCCTGTCAGGTCTCTTATGCTTCATCCAGAACATACTGCTTTCCTCACAAGCCACAAGGATATCCCAACAAGGATTCTGAAATGTCACAGGAGTTCTGGGGTGTATTTTCATTCACAAGAATATGCTGCCCTCCACCATCACCAAGGGAGCCAAAAAGACAGTCTGAACCAGACCTGAATTGTTTCTCCCTCTGGCTGCCTGTTCTCTATATCCACAACGCTTCTTTTCCTCTGTTTTCAAAATATGGTTGGCAACTGCAGGGTGAGCATCTCCTCTTCTGCCTGTCCTCATAATACTTCTTGCCCCCTTTCATCCTCCAGACATAGGGTTGCCAACTCCAGTTTAGGGAATTTCTGGAGGAACCCCCCCCCCCAAATCACCTAGAGAAGGAGAAATTTGAAGGTGAGGAAGCTCAGCAGGGATGTAATGCCACAGACTCCACCCTTCAAAGCTGCCAATTTCTCCAAGAGAACTGATCTCTGTAGTTTGGAGTTAAGTTGAAATTCTGGGAGAACTCCAGGCCCCACCTGGAGGTTGGCAACACTAGACTGAGCAAAGACCCTGCTGCTGACCCTTAGCCCCACCCCCTCATCCGTCCTTCCCCTCTTCCATATATACTATTCCCTCAAGTCCCTCTTCTCTGGCCCCATCTCCCTCCTCCACCATCAAAAGCTGACGGTAAGCCTCCAGCATCCGGGCCATGGATATGAGGACATCTCAGTGCACATCAGCTGTCTTTCAGACAAACCTATTGGCAAGTAAGGACAGTCAGGGGTCGTTTCGTAGAAAAAGAGCTAGGGGAACTCATTAGCATAACTCATTAGCATATACCACATCCCCTGACATCACCGGAAGTGTGTCATAAGGCCACACCCCCTGACATCACCGGAAGTGTGTCATAAGGCCACACACCCCGCCCCCAGTGGTCCCGGCTGCCGCTGGCGGCCTTGCAGCTCCACTGCTGAGCCCCATGAGGGGCCCAGCGGTGGACCTGCAAGGCCGGCGGGAGTGCAAGGAAGCCCCGCAAAGGCCCTCCCTGGCCCCGGGCAGGCAGGAGTGGGGAGAGGCAGGGAGGAAGCAACTTACCCTCCCTCTTCTCCTGCCTCCTCCTGGCTGAATGAGGGCCGAACGCGGGGCGGCCGGAAGCAGGGGGCGGGGCTTCGTCATGTGCCCCGCCCCCCGTACCTCACCCGGGGGAACTGCGATCCCCCGCGATCCCCCCCGAAATGACCTCTGAGGACAGTTCAGAATCACGGGGCCCGGCAGTCAAAACCATACACAGGAGGGATTGAGGGACTGCCTGCTACCAGCCGGACTAGCCAGGTGGGTACCGGAGGTGGAACTCCTGTTGTAACGGCAGCTCTAATTCCTTTGCGACAGGTAAGCGCCTCTTCAAGGAGGATGTCCTTTCTACTGGGCTTCCTGGTCACCTGCTACCTTCAGTCACTGACCTCAGCAATGTCCGCAAGCACCTGAGAGACCTACCTGCACAAAGATGGGGAAGACCAGCACCTTGGGAGCCAGCGTCACATACGTGCCATAACTCGAGTGAGCGATGTTGGGCCTCACCAGGGTGCAGTTCTGGGAGTTGCCGCCGTGGCCCTTGATGGTCTGCACTGTCTTCATGAGCCGGGATTTCTTGCCATGAGAGACCCCTTTACACGCACTGCCTAGAAACAGGGCAGGGGAAAAGAAGTGTGTGGGGAGGGGTGATATTTTTTGGTAATGTCTGCCCCAGCTGATTTGATCTCTTATACTAAATCAACAGTAGCTTAGCACCAGACCACACCCCATACCATGCCTGCCTGTCCCAATCTGTAATTTATTTCTGGGTCTTTATCAGTTAGTTACTGACAGGACCCATTTTGCTAGTGAAGCTCACCTGGAGAGAAAGGATTTTATGCCACCCTTCTTACCACCTAGGCTGACCAGATGGCTAGGGTTGCCAGCTCCAGGTTGAGAGATACCTGGAGATTTGGGGGTGGGGCCTGAGGAGGGCGGGGTTTGGGGAGGGGAGGGGAGGGACTTCAATGGGGTATGATGCCATAGAGTCCACCTTCCAAAGCAGCCATTTGCTCCAGGTGAACTGATCTGTCACCTGGAGATCAGTTGTAATCCCAGATCTCAAACTAGCAGGCCTATAAATGGCATAGAGCTCCTTTTTCCCCCTTAAACAGCTACATGGACAAGAAAATTTTGGACAGCATAGTTTTTCTGTCCCCTGCACAATGAGCTGCCCTGGCCAAAATTCCTTCCACATCAGAGCTTTTTTACTCCCCCCCCCTTATTTATAGGTGGATTTCAAACTGAAAACTGCTTAGAAAATGGTTGCGTTTAAAAAATACAAATAAAAACAAACCATACAAAATGGAAAAACAGAACAATAAAAACATACAAAACCACTGAAACGATCCATTAATCTCCAAAACCAAAATTGTATCAAGGATTTACAGTTGTCTGTGAAAAGGGACCAGAGAGGCACACTTACAAGGCCCTGCTTCTAGGTGAGGGCAGCTTTGCCTCTCTAAATGAAGAGACTTACAATTTCAGAAGCTCTTCCCTCTTTTGCATATGGTTGTGGTCATGCCTTGAATGAAGGCTTTACCTCTTGTGGGCTCAGTCAGCAGTTAAGCATCTGGCTACCTCCTGACAGATCGTCATAAAGGTGTCCTGTTAGTTAGACCTGCTGTTATCTGCTGGCAATGGTTACCTGGTGTGTCAGTCTTTTTGTCCTTTAGAATTTTACAGTCCTCCAAAGTGGCAGGATGTGCACATGTGTGCATACATTTGGTTTGCTTTGAAAATCTAAGCCCAAAAGAGCAGCCAACCAACTGTTATATATGGGAGCACTAGTGTCAGTGCTTGGAATAATGGTGTTTATGCCCTGCTTTTTATAACAACATGTTTACTTAGGGGAACAATCAGCTCTAGCAGTTGTTCCAGGAAGTTTTCAAGTTAATCAAAGTTCTTCTTTAAGCTGAATTTTTAAGGGGGGGAGGTGAGAGGGAGTTGTCATTGAGCAGGATGGAAAAAGCTTGAGTAAGTTTGCTGGAAGCTGGAAACCCATCTGAAAGCATTCCTCTTGTTTGAATTTTAACTGCCGCCAGCACTTTGTAATGTATTATTTTAATTGTTATGTTTTAATCTGTATTATGTATGTTTTTACCATTTATTTATATTATTGGAAGCTGCCCTGAGCCTGCTTGTGGGGAGGGCGGGGTATAAATCAGAAAATAAATAAATAAATAAATAAGTCTCTCCCAGCCTTAAGAGAGAATGGAGGTGCAAAAAAGATATCAGGTTGCAAAGAGTTGCTGCTTTCCCACTAAAGACAGAAATGCCAGAATTCAGATGAGAGAATTCAGATCTGTACTTAGTTTTCTCCATAAGCACTAGAAGCAAACTAAATTCTGCAAATGAAGAAGGCAAGTTGTTTGGTGCAGAATATAGGTTTGCTTGGTGCATAGTGTCTGCTCCTCTTTTTCGGCATGAAGAACACAAAACCTTCCATGCGGCTTTAACTGACTGGGAACACCCGGAAACGGTCGAGGAATTGTTTTTGTTACTTATTTATCCACCACACTGCCCCGGCGCAAAACTTTTCCAAGAGTCAATAGGAAACGGAGCCTAACGGAAACGTCGAGTCAATTCAGGTTATTGTTGGCCAGTCAAAGGCATTTCAGCAAATTTCCTACACAGCCGTTCCTGTTGCAGAGAAGCTGGAAAACAAAATCGCTACCGCGCAGTTTCCACTGCCTTCATTTCACACTGGCTCTCTGACACAACAGCAACCCTAAAGGTTTTGCCAAGTTTGACTTTACTGATACCAAGAGTGCGCTGATGATGTCATCGTTGGTCCAGGCTGGCGCAGACCCTACCACAAGGCGGGGCACTGCCCCCACAGAGTTTGGAAGCCCAAGGCAGCAGTGAGAGAATGATCCATTCAAAGCACAATTTTAATGCTGGGGGTTTTAATAGTCAGTGCATTTTTGAAAGACTTTTATACTGGCATGTGCTTTTCTCATGTTTTATTTTGAGCAGCTTCTCTGGAGAGGTGGCATAAAAATTTTCTCAATGTCAACAAAAATGAATGAATGGACAACAACAACAATAGTCTACTGGAAATTCTCCTGCAGGAATCCAATGAACTGAGCAGTACCTGTTCAAGGGTACTACAAGTTGCACTTTGTTACTCTCCTTGGGCCCCCAGAGTTGGGAGAAAGGCATGAAAGACATTGAGGTAGCCTTAGGCTATTCCCTCAGCCAAATACCACTCACATCTGTCAGGCAGGAGGACTAACAATACCACCCAATCTTTTACGAATGCCACTGTAGTGATTGTTTCAGCATCATAGGTGGAAGTCTCTAAGCACAGAGGAAAAGAGGAGAGGAATTCACTGACGTTATTTCACTCTTCAGCCAAGTGGCTAAGAAATCAACCATAAACTAGGATGCTTATAGCATGGGGTAGTGGTTAGAGGGTTGCACTAGGATCTGGAAACCTGGGTTCAGATTCCCACTCTGCCATGGAAGCTTGCTGGGTGGCCTTGGACCAGTCACTCTCTCTCAGCCTAACCTCCCTCACAGGGTTGTTGTTGTGATGATAAAATAGAGAAGGGGAGTACAATGTTGTAAGCTGCTTTGGGTCTCCACTGGAGAGAAATAAGTATAAATATCTAAAGAAATAAGCAAGCCTTTGCTATGAGCCCGTTAAAGGGGTCTTTGCCAAGCCTGCGCCTCTCTCTCTCTCTCTGCATCCAATCAATTTGCAATGCCAGTAATAATTATCTACTTTGAAGGGTTCCTGTAAGGATTACAAAAAGGTAACTATGCAAAGCACTTTGAACACTTAAAAGTGCTGAACTAATACTAAGAATTTGTGAATCGTCCTGTGTTTTTTTGTCAGCTGTACCAATTTGCTAGCAGATGCTAAAGTAAAAGGCTACCTTTGGGGAACCTGCAACCTTTAGTCCGAGTTTCCCCAAAGCCCCTTCTCTCTAGGAACTGCAGAGGGAAATAACACTGCTCTTCCCCTGCTTCCAGAAGCATCAATGCCTTGGCAGCATCAGCAGCCATGATACCAATACAGCCCCAAACCTATGGGCCAGGGTTGTCTGGCTTGGGAAATACCTGGAGATTTGGGCAGTGGCGCCTGAGGAGGGCGGGGTTTAGGGAAGGTCTGGCTGCCATAGAGCCCCACCTTCCAAAGCAGCCATTTTCTCCAGGTGAACTGATCTCTCTCTCTCCTGGAGATCAGTTCTAATCCCAGGAGATCTCCATCCGCCACCTGGAGGCATACCTTCTAACCAGCACACTTCATACTAAGGAATGCATGGCAGGGGGTGGGAAGAAAGGGTGGGAAGTTGGGACTGGCCTGCCCACTCTTCTCAGTTCTACTTCTGTCGTGACAGCCAGATTTCCATACACATCTCTCTAGTTCTATTCAAAGAGCCTTCCTTGATCGAAGCCATGGTGGGAAAGATGCAAAGCAAATGAAACTGCTGTCCTCCCGGAACCACGTAGCCGACACCCATGCCCAGCTTGCGCTGACAGCAAATGCTCCTGAACACGGCTGGGGAAACAGATAGGGCCTGCTCCAAAGTAAATAAGTCTGGCTTATTCCATTAGCCCTTCGGAAAGAGCTTGTTTGCTCTGAGGTAAACAACAGTCCAGACAGAGCAAGTTAATTGGCAAGGGCTCAGAACAAGCTGCTGCTTGCCATTTGCCCAGGGACCAGCTCCAGGTGATGGTGAAGGGGGAGACCACAAACACTTCCAAAATCCACTGAGAGAGACGAGCAAACTTTTTAAGGAACTCTTTTGATGCTCCTTGGCCAGCATCTGCTAAATGGCAGCAGTAATAACGATACTTCGCATTTCTACAGCACATTTCAAATAGTCAGAGAACCTCCTGGACATTTCAGGTTAAATTCTTACAAGAGCTCCATCAGGTAGGCCAATATTACCATCCTTTCTATGGTGCAGTTAGGTGGGTTGAAGGTGAGAAAACAGTGGTTCACCTAAGAGCCAAACTGTTGAGACGGCAAAGTTCTGTGGATGGGAACTCCCAGAGTGTATTCGGCCCTACTTAAAAGCATCCACAGGGAGTTGGATATGGACCGGGGAAGGGGTTCTGGGGAAAGGGGGTTAATCCACCCCGTACCATTTTCTGATTACAAAATAACCCCCAGAGTACTTCCAAGCCTTGTCAGAGAAAAAAAGCAGGCTCAATAAGTATACCTGTCTTTTCCCCTTACTGGGGCTTAAGCAGTCTAAGGAGGCCATTTCTGACTGGATAACCCATGGGGAGGAGGGAGAATTAACACCACTTGCTCAGTGCCCCAGTCCATTTCTCCCACAGCTGCTTTCCTGGATTTTCCGGTCAAAGATCTCAAAAACCATAAATAATTTGACCCTATGATTACCTCGTAATTCTGTGGGTGAGAGATAACTTGACCAAACCCACAAGAGACATTGTTGTGACCACCTCATGGCAAACCGAAATAGCCAACACAAAGAAGAAAACATATCTACCTTACTTATAGCCTTGATGCTACAACAAACAAAACAGTCTTATTTTTACACTAATTTTTTTTAAAGCCAAAAGATTCTTATGGTTTTGTGTGTAGATACTCTTCAAAACAGACTTCAGCTTTGTAAAGAGACTGGAGGTCTGAAAACCAAGTTCAATTTCACCAGAAAGTAGCTAGTTCCATTTATTATGGGAGAATGGAAGTAGTTATTTTCTGATGAAACAGAGGAAGTGTAACAGTGCCCACAAGTTGTAAAGTCACGGAGGGCTTGCTGGGTCACAAGTTCCACACAAAATGGTAGCTCATGCTCAAAAGCACTTTGCACATGACAGAGAGCAGAAAAGGATACCAAGATTCAAAATACAGACACCTCATCAGCCATCTGTCTCCAGAGTGCTTATAATTTCATTTAATGTTTCTTCCAATGCCTGCCTGCTAGCGAAAGCCAAGTCCCCAAGCCTGGCATATTCCCTGACAAACCCAACAGCTAAACTCACCTCCAGGGGCTTTGCCCTCCTGGTAGACAGGCCGCAGAAGCTGAAAGACACAAAGCGAGGAAACTGGAGTTACCTTCTCCACGAAAGGCACCACTGCAGCTATTAAATCCTCCATACGTGCTGGTCTATGACCTTAATAAACCATTCATTAATTCATTCAGTCAATCAATTCTCCACAAAATTGAATGTTGGGGGCAGGATTTTGCAACTGGGGAACCTTAGCTTTCATTTCCTACTTGGGGGACAGCACCTTGAACAAAATGAGGCCACCCTTAAAAAAAATGTTCCAGGAAGCCTGGAGACAGTCAGCATGCCTTGGCTCCATCCTGGGAAATGCGCTAAGAACAAGGAGCCCCAGCTGATGGGGGCGACAGAGGCTGATTCTGCAGAAACAGCTCATTGGGGGCGGGGGGTGAAACAGGTTCCAGACAGTTAAATGAAGGATTCCAGGTCTGAACACTCCCCCATATAAAAGAAATCCCTTTCCAAATAAACTTAACATGTCAGGGAAATGGCTATGCTGGAATCTGTCTCCCTGACACCTAATTTTCTCTATACAGGTAACTTTATTTGAAGGCAAGTATTCCATTCTGCAAGCCCCCACCTGCAATCCAAGGTGGTTCACTCAAGGAGCATTCCTATCAAGCAGTGAAGGTTGAGGGTTTGTGGGCGAGGGGGCGGGAGTGTTGTCTGTTTCTAACCTAGGCAAGTGAAAAGGGCAGTGCCAGTTCTGAGAACTGGTGTGCCTTAAGAGACATGTGAACAGAAAGGCTGGCTGGGGCTGAAACCCTCCTTGGGCTCCTAGAAGAGCACAGGTAAACAATGGGCCTGACAATCTCCTGAAGGGCAGGGTTGGATTCTCTTCTGGGGTGCCCATACCTGGCTTCCTGGATTGAGGGGTGCCAGAATGATGTAGTTCTTGTCCCCACCTGTAGAGGTGGGTCGGGAGAGCGGGGGCATAGTACGCTGGGTGGCCTTCCCAAGCTCTGTGTAGCGCTCCCAGCCGTTCAGCACCAGCCCCTCATTCCCATCATATACAACGTGGCAGCTTTGGCGGTGCTCAGGAGGCCGCGGCCGCAGCAAGCTGTTCTTCTCCCGTTTGTTGGGTGGGGACTGCAAGTCATACGTTGATTTGCAAGAGGAGCGGCGGATGACGCCTTCCAGGGCAGGTTTGACCCGAGGGACGATGCGCCAGACCAGTAGTATGATCTCCCGTGAACAGTTTCTGCAAGAGGCATAGGTAGGAGAGGGTGGGTCAGTGTAGAAGAGGACGTCATGGGGGTTCGGAACAGTGTTCCCTCTAAGGTGAGTTAGTGGGACCCAGCTCACAGTTTTTTAGCCTCCGGCTCACACATTTTTGCCTTGGCTCAAGGAAGGATGGCTCCAGAGCAAACTAATATATGCAGTAGCTAAATCGCTCGCTGACAACTTTAGTGCCAGTAGCTCACAAAGTAGAATTTTTGCCCACAAGACTCCACAGCTTAGAGGGAGCATTGGTTCAGAACTCTTCCCCCTCCCCCCCCAGACATGCCAAGCACCATGAGATGGTATCAAGCTAATTTCACTCACGACCTCATGATTTCAGAGCCCGCTGCCCCATTATCATCAAAACACAGTCCAGACCTGCAACACGCTCAGCCCCAGACTCTCAAAGGCTCCCCTGCCTCCCCGCTTTAGAGAGTCCTTCACAGAGGACAGATCTAGCCACACCTATTTGCCATGGCAACTAATTAGAGGATATTACAAGCTGTATGCCATGAAAATCAAATGCAGCCTCCGTGAGCAGAGCAATAGACTCAAGTACCAGATGCTGGAATCAGACAAGTGAGAGGAGGGGTGTTGTCATAGACCCTTGAGTGTGAACTTCCCCAGGCAATCAGGGATGAATTGGGAAGAAAAAAACTAGACAAATTAATGAAGGATACATCTACCAGCAAGGATTATACACAATAAATAGTTAAAACGAAACTCCTTTGTCCAGAGGCAGTATCTCTGAGTTCCAGCTGCAGGGACTAATAATTGAGAATGGCCATTGATTGCATACCTTGACAGGACTCCAGTATAATGCCACTAGGTATGCTATGTATTATCTTGCTCTTAACTGCATTATCTTCTGCTATTGGAATTCCATTTTCTGCATTGTTTGACGTTATCGCATCTGATCATTTTTGCATTGTTTCTAAGGTTTGTAATCCTTATCCTATGGCATTGCTTATTATCCTGAAGCATCTGACTGCGTTGTTTTACACTTGGTAACCTGTCCTGAGTGTCAGTGAGAAAGCGGGGAGGAGCTATAAAGAAAGTAAATAAAATCATGGGTTCCCTGGAACATTTGGATGTCCACTGGTGGGAAGAGACAAGACCCTGTAGGGCAGTTCCTCAACCTCTCTCACAGGAACCCCTCATTCCCATCCCTCTCTCCCTATCCCCAGGACACTCAGAGCTTGGCTCCACCACAGCCACACCACCCATCAACACGTGTGCCATAGTCACCGGATCTCGTGAGCCAGCTCCACACACTTCCAGTGCTCAACAGGTTGCTCATTGAGTTTGAGGACAGTGTCTAGTTGTTGCAAGCCGGCCTTCTCTGCAGGACCACCTGAAAGGGAGCGTGTGTTAGAGCTTATCTGGACACAGAGATTCTCTAGAAACGTACCCACATACAATGTTTTTAGATATTTACTTATTTAGATAGTTCTACTCATGGTCCAGCCCCCCTCCAACAAAGGCTCCTGCCGCTGCTTGCACTTGCCCTCTCTGGGGTTCAGGCTGCTTGCCTAAGCAGAGGCTGCTCACATCCACCCTGTCCAGGCTCAGTGGTGGCCAATCATGCCTGCCCCATGCAGGGCTCAGCTACCTGACTTCCAGTGGCTGGTCCTGCCCGTCTCACATAGGCCAAGGGCTGTGTCTTGCTTAGACCTGGTGGGGGGGCTGGCAAGGGGTGACAGTGAATCTGGGGGCCCATCTTGAACTTTTTCCCAGGGCCCCTGAATCACCAAAACTGCCCCCCAAAGGACACTAGGGCTCTCTAATGAAGGATCTTTATCATGTACGCCAAAATATAATTACCATAAGGACTGCAGATGGTAAAGTGTCGAAGGAAAGCCAGGACAGCTGTAGCATAGATACACCCTTTTTACAAAGCTTGTGGCAGGTGTCAAGAGAGGCTCAAAAATAGTTTCTTCAAAAAAGACTACCATTGCAAACCAAACCAATCAACCCACCACTCAGATCCACTGTCCCCGGTCTCACCAGAGTCCACAGCCTGCACCCGGACAGGCGAGTCACAGCAGATGGTAAACCCGAAGCCATTCTTTCCTCGTGGGATTGTAATCTGAAAGCAAACATCAAAATTACACATTTTAGTGTGTGTGGCTCGTGGGATTGTAATCTGAAAGCAAACAACAAAATTACACATTTTAGTGTGTGGGGGGGTTAATTGCATTGTAACATGGTGGCTGCGGTGGCTCAAGTGGTTAAGACGCTGAACTGCAGGCTGTGGAAGGTCAGTAGTTCAGCAGTTTGAGACTCGAGTTGCCGCATGATGGAGTGAGCTCCCGTCTCTAGTTCCAGCTCCTGCCAACCTAGCAGTTCGAAAGCAAGAAACTGAAAGTAGATAAATAGGTACCACTTCGGTGGGAAGGTAACAGCGTTCCATGCGCCTTGGTGTTTAGTCATGCCGGCCACATGACCACGGAAATGTCTTCGGACAGCGCTGGCTCTTCGGCTTTGAAACGGAGATGAGCACGACAACCCTAGAGTCGGATTTGACTGGCTTTCGAGCAAGGGAACCTTTACCTTTACCTTTAACATGGTGTAGCCCTACACTAGTCTCAGAAAGACAAAATCTGGGGCTTGGAACAGGGAATAATATGAAATGAGAGTGGGACAACCCAGAGGGGCCCTGTGTAAGCTCAGATCTTAGTGCTGCAGCCAGCCATATTAAGGCCCATTTTGCCCTGTCCTTGTGGCCTAACGTCAGGAACTTTCCATTTGCCTAACGTGGACAGTAAGCAGAAAGGTTAAACCTGTCATGTGGAGGACCATTTAGCCCACATATCCATCACCACAGACACTGTGCTACCTAAGCCACATCCGGGATCACAGAGTGATGCTAACACCACAGCAGCTATTATTAAGAATCTGTCACCATCTCCTGCCATCTCAAGGGACTTTCCAAAAGTCAGAACTCATAAGATCACTCTGTGGTTTGAACCTTTAAAAGGATTTGGTACTTGTTGCAAAGACTTTCAATTTCATCAGCTAGCATAATGAAATGCTGCCTCTCGGTCTTCTCCAAAGTTGGTAGAATTCTCGCTTAGAATCTCTGTCCGCAGGCAACGACAGGCCACTCTGTCAAAGTACCCATCTTTAATGGTCAACCAATGGCAGGACAGAACGAGGGAGCACGTAAGGCTGAGGACTTCTGGAACCATCTTGGGACCAAGCAAACTGCAGTTTTTCTTGGAGATCTGAATACAATAATTATCTGCACTGAATACTCGCCAGCTTTGATTCTTTAATAGCAAATCTCCCACACTGAATTGCTTTCAGTTACTACAGTATTGAGATGCAATGATTTTGTTTACACTGGTACTGAAATTTAGGAGAGCAGCTCTCAACTCTTTGAAACAGTTCTGTTTTTTCTCTTGTCCTGCTTTATTATGTGTCTTATTTTACATGGCAATTTTGCTCTATAACTTGCTTTTACATTTTTTTGGATTGAGGTCGTTCATCACTTCTGGGATACATGGAACAGGACCTTAAAATGGAAGGGGAGTGGCTTTCCATGGGAAACACTCTGATACTGGAGCTTTTGCAAAAAGTAAATGAGTGTGGAAATTTGTTACATCCACATAAGAAGCAGGGCTTATGTGGCCTAACAGAGGTGTGTCGCTGTTTTCACACCATTACAGAAGTACAGAAGAGAAAAGAAACACCCTGCTCTTGAGTACCACATGGTCACAAAGCTATAGATTAGTTGTACAGAAAACAGATAGCACCGGCTGTTAGGTGCCTGCACTGGTTGCCAGTTAGCTCATGGTCCCAATCCAAGGTGCTGATTCTTACCTTTCAATTTCTCACAGCCCCTAGATGGTGCCTACCTCAGAGGATCTCTCCCACACATGCATACCTCCCTGTTCCCTCAGGCGAACATTGCTTTATGTCTTCTCATTTCTTGAGAATGCAGAGTGGCGCTCCCACAACTGTGACACCTGCCCTGTGGAAGTCCCTTTTTAGGAAGATAACCGAGAAAGATGTTTTGGGCAGCCTGAGCTTGTTTCTAATTCTTGCCTGTTGCTTTGGACGTGTTTCCTCTTTTGCTTTCTAAATAGTTACGTTGTCTGGTTCTATCGTACATTTGCAATGAGGTTCTTTCTTAATGGAAAACAAGTTCAATAGACAGAGAAAGACAGTTTAACTAGATAACCCAAGGGAAGAGAGGAAATGCTGTGTGACAGGCAGCTTCCCACAAGGGCTCTCCTTGAAGTGACCCGTGGGGCATACCCGTTCATGGTAGGGCCAAGATGCTCAGAATCGCATCTCTTGTCAAGTCCTGGTGATTCCAGAGATGTCTGCCAAGTTTCCTGTGAGCAACAAAGGGGAAGGATCTGCCCTTCCGATTTCTGGGAAAGGAAGCCAGAAGGAAGATCCCTACTATTGAGGCCTCCCGTGTGAGCCACCAAGGCCTGATCAAAGGAGACCTTAGTTCAATGATATTTCTGTGATGCCTCTTTCTACCTTGGGCTGTAACCAAAAAAGAAGAAGTAAAGACAGTGCCAGGAGCCACAATAAAAGCAGTCTTGAAGACTGGGAGACATGGAAAACTTCCAGTGACAGCTTGCAGCAGGCCCACTGAAGTTAAAAGACTGTATCTGAAGAAGTGTGCTTGCATACGAAAGCTTATACCCTTGAATAAAAAATTGTTGGTCTTAAAGGTGCCACTGGACTCCAACTTTGTTCTGAAGTTAAAGGAGTATGCAGGCTTTTTTCGGTTTCACTTCATTTCTCAGTCATACATACATACTCATTTCACTTGCTAACAGGATGTCAGCATCATTAAGGCACTTCCACAACAGAAGAAATCTAAAATTTAGTATGCATGCCGTATGGGCGGGGCCATAACTCAGTGGCAGAGCATCTGCTATGCATGAAGAAGATCAAGGGTTCAATCCCCAGCTTAAAAAGGGCTGGGTGGTAAGCAGTGTTCCCTCTAAGCTGAGTTAGTGTGAGCTAGCTCACAGTTCTTTAGCCTCCACCTCACACATTTTTGTCTTAGCTCAGGAAGGAGGGCTCCAGAACAAACTAATTTATGCAGTAGCCAAATCACTCGCTCACAACTTTAATGCCAGTAGCTCACAAAGTAGAATTTTTGCTCACAAGACTCCACAGCTTAGAGGAAGCACTGGTGGTCGGTGATGTGACGAACCTCTGGACCCTGAAGAGGCGCTGCCAGTCAGAGCAGACACTACTGACCTTGGTAGACCTACGATCTGTTTCAGTTTAAGGCAGTTTTATGTATTTGTGACACTTGATAATGAGAAATGGCTGAAACTCATGCATAGAGAACCAGTGTGGTGTAGTGGTTAAGAGTGTGGGACAAGCATCTAGGAGGCCCGGGCCTGAATCCCCACTTGTGTTGTGGAAGCTCACTGGGCCAGTCACACTCTTTCAGCCTAACCGTCTTACCAGGGTTGTTGTGAGGATAAAATGGTAGGGTGAACAATGTAAGCCACTTTGGATCCCCATTGGGGAGGAAGGCGGGGTACAAATGAATTAAATACATAATAAATAGACTGGGTGTGGATCACAACTGACATGCAAGGCACAGACGAACAACTCTTGAAAATCCGGAAAATCTATAGCACACAACCTGGAAAATCTACAGCAACTAATGAACTCTTGAATCATCTGGGTGTCCAGCTTGCACCCCAACTCAGAAAACAGAAAGAGCTGGGAGTTTCAGTCAAGGGAATGTTAGAGAAACGGGCAGACAAACCACAGAAGCCCAAGACACACAATCAAAGGATTGGGAGTTACCACAAAGCTGTCCAAATTTAACCCAAGCTCTGGGGTACAGTGGCACACCCGCTAATTCCCTTTCTCTTGCAGACAACCATAGAAGCCAGGATGCACCGTGGGAAAGCTTTTTTAAAATGAATTAGACAAATTCATGGGGGACAGGTTTAGCAATGGCTGTTAGACATGGCACCAAGCAATGGAACTTCCATGTTTATAAGCAGTATACCTTCAGTCACTGCTGGCGAGGTCAAACAAAATGAGGATTGCTCTCACTATCTTGTCCTGCTTAAGAAGGCAGGATCAGCTCAGCTTTGGTTCTGAACCAGAACAGCAGTTCTTATGGGATAAAAAGAAATGTGTGCATAAAGCTACACAAAGCCAGAAGAAGCCAGAAGCTACATGCAAAGGACAGTTCCATGTGAGTTCACATCTCAGCTCACCTAGGACTCCACTAGGTGGCTTCAGGCAAGCCACTCTCCCTCACCTGCATTCCCCCCCCCATCTGTAACATTGGGATAACTACAGCCTACCTCACAGGGGTGTTCTAACATTACAGAGATAATGTCCACTTCAAAAAGCAAATTGTAAACACTAAATATTAGAGTATTATTGCTCTTACATCTCCCGCACAGACCTTTCACCACCAAACCCACACTGCAAGCCTCAAATGTGGGCAGGGAGGCTTCAGTCTAAAGGGTTGGACTTTAAATTGGTTGGAGAACAAACATCACCCAAAACCCTTTTGAAAGCCTGTCTGTGCCCTACGCAGCCTCTTTATAGGCCTGTCACCCAGGAAACAGACAGGTATTTAGCCCCTGCTGGAAGAATCCCCGGGTATATTGCCTCCTAAGCGGCCCCTGTTTTGTCTCATGCACCCACACCACAGCCCCAGAGAACTGCATGGCCTTTACCCCCGACATAGGCACACACTGGCTTTTGGGATTCAGATGCACCGACCTGCTGGTAGCGCTGCTCGGAGCACACCCGGCACAGTCCATTGAACCGACTCATGTCCAAGGCCTCGAGGCTTGTGGCCGGCCCATTAAAATCACAGCATCTCCCTTTCTCCCAGGCAGACCGGAGCAGGAGAGACCCCCTGCCTCCTTGCCGCCAGGCAGCTGAGAATAATCCTCTGCGGTCCTGGCATGGCTGCCCATGGGAACCCGGCGGCTCCGCAGAAGAATGGCAGGAAGCCACCCCTCACCTCCCAGGCTGCCTCTGCCATGTGCTGCTTGATGATAAGCAAAGAGGCTTCCTGAGAACTCCGAGGGATGAGGAAGAGAGAGAGAGAGAGAGGGTTCAGAGTCAAATTCCTGTCAGCTCCCTTGCTGAGGCGGCCTTTGTTCCCTGCCGCATTGGCTACCCGTGTTCTCACAAACACTTGGAGGATGTTGAAGCAGCCATTCGCTGGCGCTGCCACTTCATGACAAAAGGGGGGGGGTGTCTTGCATTCGCATTCATATTCAGGGGGAAGGATTGCAAGCAGCCAAGGAAATAATGCTGTTTTATAGAAAACTCCCTTTCACACACTCGCACACAAGCACACACTCTTTGCTGACGGAGACCCCAAGCAGCGAGGTCTCTTGACATTGCTGGGAATTCACAAATTCTCCTCTTTGGATCCAAAGACATAAAACAACAAAAACCCCTCTTGACTAAGTTTAAGGCATGCTTGAAGATGTGCCTTTGCAGCACACAGCCTTCTCTTTGCTAGCACAGCAAAACCCGCAGCCTTTCGCTGCGGAAAAGCCCTGAGCATCATCTGCAAAGGCGACAAGGTGGGAGGGAGTTACAGTTGTGATGCCTCTTCTCTTCCTTTCCTTTCAGAGGAACTCTTTGCCTTTGGCAGGTGTACAACAGGCAGAAAAGACGCCATACCCTGAATGCTTCTTTAGAGCAGAGCATCAGGGAAGTGGGGAATGCCTCACCTTTGGATTTCTGCCTGCTTTACAGGCTGCTGAAAAACACAAGCCTTCTTCTGCCCAGAATCAGCAACTGCAGTGAAAGAGCTTCTGTAAAATGTTGGTGGTTTAGAATTTGGAGCAGGAGTGTACATAGGAGAAGGGGGTTTTGTGTCTATTTTCCCTGCCTTTTCCAAACTGTAGGCCGAACGGGACATTTGGCAGCAGACGTGAGTCTAGGATGCCCCGTCACTGACAAAAGCAGCAAGAAGAAGAAACACTTTGCATAGGAAAAACAGCAGGGAGAAGAAGGAAGTTTCCTTTATAGCGCTCCCCCACCCCCAGTTACTTTTCATCCCAACACAGCACACAGATGTCAGCTGAAGAGGCAAAGAACTGACTGTCTCTGCCTGCCCACCACTTCTTCCCTACAATTGCACCCTCCCATTACAGCTTTGCTGATATTCACCAGCAACCAGCGGTTCCCTCTGGATATATTCAATTGCTGCCTATCAGCAATTTTAACCTTGGGATCTTTGATTAGAGATCGGGTCACGGCTCAAATCCTAAGCAAAAGATCCCAGGTTCCGCCTCTGACATCTCCAGTTAAAGCATCTCAGGTAGCAAGTGTCAGGAAAGATCTGTCTCTATCTGTGACCCTGGGAAGTTGCTGCTAATCAGAGTAGAAGAATATTCAGCTAGGTTGCCTAATGAACTGACGAAGTCTGAGACAGATTTAGGTGACACCTGTTGGCTGCTTTCGCAAGGATTTTGAATCTTAGAAACTGGACCTCCAGATTGATAGATACCAACATGAATGACCTATGAGTGGCTGATCTTAGCTAGCAGCGCAAGTTCGACATCCATGAATGAGAGCAGACTGTCAGGCCAGTCTGGCTAAGATGAACATAAGAACATAAGAGAAGCCAATGTTGGATCAGGCCAATGGCCCATCCAGTCCAACGCTCTATCACACACAAAAATACCAGGTGCCATCAGGAGGTCCACCAGTGGGGCCAGGACACTAGAAGCCCTCCCACTGTTATCCCCCCCCCATGCACCAAG